GAAGAACATACCTCTCTCAAACCAATATAAAGGGGGAAAAGAAGAATGAGAAAAACTAATAAGAAAATAAATAAGAGAAATGGTAAAACTTTATTGAAAGACCTTAAGGAAGACCTAAATAAAGGGAGAGATAAATGATGTTTATAGCTTATTTCCTGAGAGAGGAGCATTGTTTTATTCACTGCTCTCTACTCAGTGAATACACAGTATTTGGCCCAGGGAAGAAGCTCAGTAAATATTTTTGGAATGAAAGGATGAATAAATGCATGGATGAACCAATAAATGTGAGAAAAAATATGGTAAAGATAGAAATCTGGGGAGAATTCTTACACCAAATAGGATTTATAAATTTAAAGCAATCAACTATAATACAATTAAAATAAATGGTGACTGCAGCATAAATACTTTTAAAACAATGCAAAACCTTGCCAGTTGCGATAACACAAAGAGACCTAGAGGGTATTATCTCAGTGAAATAAATCAGACAGAGAAAGACAAATACTGTCTGATTTCACTTATATGTGGATTCTCAAAAAAAAAACACAAACAAATAAAACAAAACAGATATAGACTCATAGATTCAGAGAACAAACTGATGGTTGCCAGAGGAGACCGAGGCATGTATGAAAAGGGTGAAGAGAAATAAGAATTACGAACCTCCAGTTATATATAAAAAAAAAATAGGGCACAGAGCTATACTGTACAACATAGGGGAACTAGTCAATATTATCGTAGTAAATTTGCATGGTTATACATGGTTTCTAGTCTTATTGTAGTGAACGCATTGTAAGGAATATAAATGTGGAACCTCTATGTTGTATACCTGAAACTGATATAATATTGTGTATCAACTATATTTTAATAGGAAAAATGCAGAATCTCAGCTTTTTTCCTGACAATGGCATTTAGATTTTTTCGAATTTTTAGCTTTTACAAACTAACCTGCAATTTGCATTAGTGTGCATGTAACAATGCATACTTCTCCTAGTATATTTTGTAAAGCAGATTCTAATGGGTAGATCAATGATTCTGAGCATTTTATATTTTATAGGCAATATTCTCTCAGTTGTTGTACTAACACCACTAACAGCAGTTCAAGACAGTTCCTATGTTTTTCATTCCTTGCCAGCAAGGATATTAAAAACATTTTTACTTCATCTCGCTAAAGAAAATTGCTTTTTCATGATTAATTTATTTTGTGTTCTAAAGTTGTACGGTTTACAATTCTTGCAGAAGGATAACTTAGATAAAATGGACACATTTCTAGAAGCACAGACTCCCAAAAATTAAATCATGAAAAGATAGAAAATATGAACAGATGTATAACAAGGAGATTGAATCAGTAATAGAAAAGCTCACAACAAAGAAAACTTCAGCATCTGATGGTTTCACTGGTTAACTCTACCAAAAATGTAAAGATGAATGAGCACCAATCCTCCTGGAACTCCTTGACCTGCTTATATATAACGTTAGAGCACATATGGGGCACATAGAGAATAATGAAGACAAAGCACTCTGCCCTCCCTGAAGAGGTTAAGGCACTGAAGGATCCCAATGTGGGGAAGGAGGTAAGTGAAACAAGGGAGCAACTGAAAAGCTGTGGGTGGAAGCATTTATCCCCCCACTGAGAACAGAACTCAGGCAACTGAGTGTCTGCCTCCAGGCAGGAGGCCAGAGGCTTCCGAGGTTCCCTAGCTCAGGTGACTGTCCACCTGAAATGATCCTCACCAGTCAGCAGGATGCTTCACCATCAGTAACATGCAGAATTCTCATTCAGTTATTCACTGCCTTGTTCTTTGATATCAGCAGATATTTTTTAAAGATCCTTCAACACAAGGGGAAAAGATGAATATTAAAGAAGCAAGAGAAAAAGAAATGAGCAGGAGGGCACAAAGAGAAGGATTAGAACTTTAAATATTTCTATTTGATGAGGCACAGAAATTTTTGAAATAATATTGTAACCATACAAGATCAGAATTTTATACAAATGTTCTAATGAAAGAAAGATGAAGTCTAGACAAGTCAAAAAAGATAAGATGAATAATAGAAGATGAAAATAAAAGAGGCTCAGTCTAGGAAACAAAATATTTCTCTAATAGATATTCCAAAGGGAGAAGAAAAAAATTAAGAGGAAATCATCAAAGAATAATAGAAGACAATCTTCCAAATTGAAGGACATAAGGTTGTAGATGGAAAGAGTATGGAGAGTGTCCAGTAAAATAATGAAGGAGTGCCCAGCCCTAGATATACAATTACAAAATTTCTTCATACTAGGAATTAAGGAAAGATATTAAAAGCTTTCAGAGGGAAAAAGAGGAAGTGAGAGACAGAGACAGAAGATGAAGGGAGAGGGCAGGAGAGAGAGAGAGGGAGAGAGAGGGAGAGAGAGGGAGAGAGAGAGAGAGGGAGAGAGAGAGAGAGAGAGAGAGAGAGAGAGAGAGAGAGAGAGAGATCAGACATTTCAACCACAACCTTACAAGCTAGATGAACATGAGAATATGAACAGTGAGTCCAGCCCAGGAGAACACACAGATGATACAGCAGGATAGATCCGTGGAAGGGGATTTTACTTGGAATGGAAGGGAGAGATGAAAGGGAGAGTTGTGATAGTATACCTAGAATTTTACTAGTGTGCACAAATCATTATTCCAAATTCTTTATTTCTTAACATTTTTATTGAATTTTTTAAAGAGAGAGAGTGGAAGGGAGAGGGAGAGGGAGAGGGAGAGAGAAAGAGAGAGAGAGAGAGAGAGATCAAAGTGAGAGAGAAATATGGATCAGTTGCCGCTGCCGCCTGCACTTGCCCTTACCGGGGATGAAATCTGCGACCTTTCAGTGCACAGGACAACGTTCAACCTACTGAGCCACACCAGCCAGGGCTCCAAATTCTTTTTATTTTATTTTTTTTTAATTAAATCTTTATTGTTCAGATTATTACATTTGTTCCTCTTTTTTTTCCCCCCATAACTCCCCTCCTCCCAGTTCCCGCCCCACCCTCCGCCCTCACTCCCCACCCACTGTCCTCATCCATAGGTGCACGATTTTTGTCCAGTCTCTTCCCGCATCTCCCACACCCCTTTCCCCCCCAGAAATAGTCAGTCCATTCCCTTTCTATGTCCCTGATTCTATTATAATCAACAGTTCATTCTGCTCATCAGATTATTTATTCACTTGATTCTTAGATTCACTTGTTGATAGATGCATATTTGTTGTTCATAATTTGTATCTTTACCTTTTTCTTCCTCTTCCTCTTCCTCTTCTTAAAGGATACCTTTCAGCATTTCATATAATCCTGGTTTGGTGGTGATGAACTCCTTTAGCTTTTCCTTATCTGTGAAGCTCTTTATCTGACCTTCAATTCTGAATGATAGCTTTGCTGGATAAAGTAATCTTGGTTGTAGGTTCTTGGTATTCATCACTTTGAATATTTCTTGCCACTCCCTTCTGGCCTGCAAAGTTTCTGTTGAGAAATCAGCTGACAGTCGTATGGGTATTCCCTTGTAGGTAACTGAGTTTCTTTCTCTTGCTGTTTTTAAGATTCTCTCTTTATCTTTTGCTCTTGGCATTTTAATTATGATGTGTCTTGGTGTGGTCCTCTTTGGATTCCTTTTGTTTGGGGTTCTCAGTGCTTCTTGGACCTGTAAGTCCATTTCTTTCACCAGGTGGGGGAAGTTTTCTGTCATTATTTCTTCAAATAGGTTTTCAATATTTTGCTCTCTCTCATCTTCTGGCACCCCTATAATTCTGATGTTGGTACGCTTGAAGCTGTCCCAGAGGCTCCTTACACTATCCTTGCATCTTTGGATTCTTTTTTCATTTTGCTTTTCCGGTTGGGTGTTTTTTGCTTCCTCGCATTTCAAATCATTGACTTGATTCTTGCGCTCCTCTGGTCTGCTGTCGGGAGTCTGTATAATATTCGTTATTTCAGTCCGTGTATGCTTAATTTCTAGTTGGTTCCCCAATATAAGATCGAGGGTCTCATTAGTTTTCTTGTAGATCTCATTAAGTTTATCGGCGGCTTCTAAACAGTTCTTGAGAGACCTTAAAAGTGTGGTTCTGAACTCTATATCTTCCATTGACAATTTTGTCCTGTTTCTTTGTCTCCGCATTTTGTTATGCTTCCTTGGTGCACCCCCTAGTGGTCTTTGTTCGCAGTCTTATAGTTAAATCTTGATTGTTGTAGCTAATTCCAGGGAGGGTTTGACCTCCAGGCCAAGTGGCTATGAGAATCAGCTGTGTCTGCAGTGAGAGAACTTCTGTCCTCTAGGGAGGTGCTAATCTAGCCTTTGCCTGAGGCTATCCGGCAAATGCCTCTGTTCAGGGCTTGGGCGGGGTGGGTCGCACAGGATCAACAGGGTGGGCCGGAGAGAGCAGTTATGGCGGCTCTCAGTCCTGTCCCCAGGGGCTCTGCCTCTCTGGGTCCCAGCACCCGCTGCAAAGCTCAGAGAGAAAGCTGCACTCGCTCTGACCGAAGCCAGACAGTCCCGCTTCTCCCGTTTGAGTCTGGGTCCCTAAAGACTCGCCCAGATCTGGAGCTCAGATTCTGCGACTCCCTCCCGATTGAAAACACCAACCGCGCCCTCCGCTGCCAGCCTGCTCGCGCACTCCGCACCTCAGAACTTGACTTCAGCAGTGCGCCTCCTCCGAGTGTCCGTATGCGTTTCTCTTTCCTCCTAGTTGTAGGACTTCCACTCAGCCAGTGTTCCTGTGGTTCTGGGTGATGTCCCTTCCGTTTTTTGGTTTCACTTTTGAAGTAGTTGTTCAAAGCAGCAGACTCCGGCGTTAACCTATGCCGCCATCTTGGTTCTCCCCAAATTCTTTTTAGATAAATGTTTTAGTCTTCATAACAACTTGTGAGACAGGTAATATTATTAGCCTCGTTTTACAGATAATATAGGCATAGAGTTGTTAAGTAACTTGCTCAAGGCCACACAGTTAGAAAGTTTTAGAGCCAGAATTTAAACTGAATGGCTTACCTTCAGAGCCCACGTTCTTACACTGTACCATGTATCACTGTGTGAACCATCTATGGGGGAAAGATTGGGCTTGAGGCTATAAGGTAAAATAACACAAGTAAGAAAAGGAAAATTATGGTAAGTGCCAGAAAAAAACAAAGCTTCACAAGAAAGAATGTAATATTGGGTTTGGCAGTGAATATAATATTGCATTGTCACTGTTACAATAATATAAAAGCTAGAATAACATCAAAATAGAAATAAAACTACATTGGTTTAATGGTTGAAAGGGATGAAGGAAAGTAATAAGTAGTTTAAGAAATAAATTCTCTATTCCATATGATATTTACTGATTTTTATTTATAAAGCTATGTCTGAGTAAAATCCCCCCCCCAAAAAAATAAAAAATAAAATAAAAAGAAAGAAATTCTCATTCATTTGTGCAGAAAACAGAGAGACAATGCCCAAAGTGGATAAATCAAGAAAGTATTTAGAATATTGAAGTAACAGTCAAAGAAATAGCTAAAATGATAAAATAGAGTTGCTTCTGGGGAGTAGAATGAGATTGGGGAGATAGCGCAGAACGCTGGTTTTTAAGATTGTCATTGTAAGCATTTAGGTTACTTTTTACACAGCATGTTATATATTACCTTAATAAAATTACTTATATGATTTTTAAAACAAACAAAAAAATACACTCCTAAAATTTTATGAATATTCTAGGCCCAGATAATAACTGGTACCATGGGAACAGGAAGTCTGAGGGCCACAGAATAAATATATTTAAGAAGAAAGATTTAAATGCAATAGATTCCATAATTAAGAGAATGGATTATCTTAGTGATATGGGATACAATAAGAAGTATAGGCATACAATAAGAAGATTTGAAAAACAAAACTAGATATGTGAGAAAAAACTTCAAAAAGATATCATCCGAATTTGAGTAAACTAAAATATGCTAAATTACATAATGTGGGCTCTGTGTTGTTATAGGATCTAAGAGGAAAGCCAGCCTGTGAGGGCGGCAATGGTCAGAACGACCTTGCAAGGAGGTTAAGTCTTAAGCTAAACATTGGAAGGCCTATAACATAAAGAAATGGAGAGGAAAGATGTTCCAGGAAAGACACTTTTCCTAGAAATGACCCACCAGTGGAGAGGTGACTGGCCTGAGGGAGAATAAGAAGTGCCCGCTGGGGAATAGAAAGAGGAACCCTTGAATGGCTCAGGCATAAAAGTTTAGATTTGATGCACTGACATAGGCTCCAGCAAAAGAGTTAGAGCTTAAAAGTAAGGTCTAACAGAGGGGATCAGAGTATGGCATAGAAAATTATCTTGGAGGTTAATGTAATAATCCAAGAATGGGAAAAAGAGTTATTTATGTATATGGATTTTCCCAGCCTTCAAAACCTCTACTCCAAGAAGAATGCTAAGTCAGCATATTCTTAGGATGCATAAAATCAGGGATACAGGGAGAAGACTACTACAGAAGAATATTTGACACTAAAGCAAAGTCAGTTTTAACAGCTCCTGCTCCATAAGACAAAATTGTTTTCAGTAATAATCATGTAATAATAACTAGCATGATTGTTTTCTTGATACATTCCTTAGATTTAAAACAATTAACATTGAAAAATGAATAAATTTATATTTTAAAGATGTCATTCAGATACAGTAAAATATACATTGTAGTGCATGCTCTGTTTTACTTTTAAATTTTAAACACAAATTAAAATTTCAGGTAATTACATAGAATGCCAGAATTGAGGTAACTCAAGTTCTTTGTCTTTATAGTCACGGTGCTATCATTGTTTATTTTAATTCTACTGTTAAATGCAGAAATATGCAATACCATAGAATTGGAGGTGAAAATTGTGCCCAACGTTGCTGAATGATTGAATTCTCATGAGCTTATAAGCCAAAAGAACATATATATTTTAGTCCATCTCTGTTGGGGGTGGGAGGTCAACTGTGTAACTGGTAGTTTCCAGAATTTATTTGGAGGTAGAATCCAATGTTGAGTAAATACTATGTTATAAAATCACACTAATATAAAGCTTATACATATTGTTGACTCCAAAAAGGAATATACCTGTCAAAAAGGGACTCCTTGTGGTTAACTGGGCCCAAATTTATAATCAGACTCTAGCAGCTGTTGTTTACAGGGGCCTCTCATACATACTGGGAATGCAGGCAGGGAAAAGCCACACACTGCACTGCCAAGCCTCCTGCTGTTTGAGTTCCTGGAATCATATTTTGGCCTGTGAGCTGAGACCTGCCCCCTCCAGGCCTAGCTGTGCAGCAATATCTTAATTTCCATGTTTATTGACCAATCAGAGTGGCTCCATAACAACCAATCAGGACTCTGACCAATCAAACTGTGCAAAATTGGATTCCTCAGTTGTATAAAAATGGATCAGTCAGGGCCCATTGCAGGCATTTTCTCAAAAGTAACCTGGCCTCCCTTTGTCTGGGGTAATGGACTTTTAGTTTTCTTCAAAGGCTGTGTGGCCCCAGTTTGCAAACTATTCACCTAAATAAAGTCTCTCTTTTTACTGCACTTCAGATTGGGAACTCCTGTTGTCATTGGATTGGTGGCAGTGAACTTTTGTTGACAATACATACATATATACATATATGTATGTGTATATATTTCTATTTACCTGTGTACATGTTATTAAAAATTCAACAGCAGTCATGGCAACTAGATTCATAAAAGATTGGGGAGAAGGAGGAAGTAGTTTATCACTGATATTTTAAGAATTGCCAGCACTTGGCAAAAATAAAAGTCAAGCTGACTTTTCATTAGCTTGGTTATTGATATTAAGTTCTCTATAGTGAACAGACCTCTTGTCACCTGCACCTGGTAGACTGCTTTCGCCATCCTTCCTTGGTAGCAAGTTTGAAAAACCTGAAAGGATTGGAATTGGGCTAGGGGATTTTTACATTGGAACAAGATAAGAAAAGTGTCCAGCAAGTTGAAAAAATGGCCTGAGATATTATGAGCAGGGTGGGCTGATATCTGGAAATGGATTTCAGTCAAAAGTTAAGAGTGGAGGAAGAGATATTTTAGGGAAAATAGCTGCTATTCTCTTTGATAGTGACAAAGACTAATAAGAATTTTCAATAACACTAAAATCAATAATAAAACATAACATGCTATGTATCAGACATTGTAAATGCTTTATTTGTATTGAGTCATATTAGTCTCACAATAATCCTGGGATGTAGGTACTATTGTTATTCCAATTTCATCACTTATTCTTACCCCCCTTTATCATTTCTCAGATGAGGGAACTTAGGCGGATAGAGTAACTGGCAGGAATTGAGAGAGCCAGTTTTCCCCCAGGCTGTCTGGCTTCAGATCTTCACACTGAACTATGACACTGCACATTTTTGAGAGACTAAGTAAAGTTTTGAATTGTCATCAGTTTTATTTTTTAGTCAGATTGCTATTCCGCTAAATTGATGTAGCACAGAGACTCAAGTACACAAGGAGTATTTGAGCTACAAAGGACAAGGCAATGAGGTTATGAAAATAGGATAAAAAGAATGGAATCCAGAGATACTTTGCAAACTAATTATATAGGATTTCATGGTGACTAAAGAAAATCAGGAGATAAGAAGAATGAGTCAATGGTGACTCAAAAATGAAGCTTCAATAATACAGAGAATGATGGTGGGATGGTAAGTGGGAAATATATGAGTGGGTGGATTGGTGGATAGAAGGTTATGGTTAATTTAAATTCGATAACCAAGGAGAAAGTTTCAATAAGCATTTAGAAATCCTGCAACACTTGAGAAGAGAAGAAAAATGGAAAAGATTTCAGAAATAGTAGCTAGATGACATAGGACACAGTTGAAAATTTAACTCTTGTTCTATATTTAGCCTGTGATGAACTGAGTGCTTTATAGCTTTTTTTTTTTTCCACAGAGGAGTTGAGGCAATTTGCATTAAAATGAAAGCTATTGTAAATATATTAATCTTGTATATAAATTTATTTATTTTTAACTTCATCTTTGTCTTTTCAAATTAAAGTAATTTCATTTTTTTCCTTAGCCTTTGTCTTAGATCAGCCGTGGGCAAACTACGGCCTGCGGGCCGGATCCAGCCCATTTGAAATGAATAAAACTAAAAAAAAAAAAAAAGACCATACCCTTTTATGTAATGACATTTACTTTGAATTTATATTAGTTCACACAAACACTCCATCCATGCTTTTGTTCTGGCCCTCCGGTCCAGTTTAAGATCCCATTGTGGCCCTCGAGTCAAAAAGTTTGCCCACCCCTGTCTTAGATCTAAACTTTTATTGATTAAACTAGAGGCCCAGTGCATGAAATTCATGCATGGGTACAGTCCCTAGGTCTGGCTTGTGATCAGGGCCATCTTCCCCAGTTGCTGGCAGCCAGCCCCACCCCCTGCCACCACCCACCACCAGTTCCCCATTTGCCATCGGGGGATCAGAGCCTGCCGGCCAGGGAGAAGGGCTGGGAGGTGGTCAGTGCACCTCATAGCGACTGGTCAAGAGGTCATTCTGGTCGTTCTGCCATTCGGTCAATTTGCATATTGCTTTTTTATATATGTAGATAATATTCACTTTTTAAAAATCTTCACCTGAAGATATATTTTCTTACTGTTTTTCTTCAGATATGATTTTTTTTTATTATTTTTTAAAATTTTTACTGATTAAGGTATTACAAATGTGTTTTTATCCCCCCCCATTGTCTCCTCATCCCCCCAGTCCTGCCCTCACCCTCACCCTCACTCACCCCCTGTTGTCTGCATCCATCGCTTATGCCTATATGCATGCATACAAGTCCTTTGGTTGATCTCTCTCCCTCCCCCCACCCTCGCCTACCTTCCCTCTGAGGTTTGAGCATCTGATCAATGCTTCTCTGTCTCTAGATGTGCTTTTGTTCATCAGTTTTGTTGTTCATTATATTCCACAAATGAGTGACATCATGTGATATTTATATTTCTCAGACTGACTTATTTCACTTAGCATAATGCTCCCCAGTTCCATCCATGCTGTTGCAAATGGTAGGAGTTCCTTCCTTTTTACTATGGCATAGTATTCCATTGTGTAGATGTACCACAG